GGCCTTTGTGCATTGTTGTGGTTTGGTGGAATCTCTTGCAGTAGTTCCTGTTAAAAGGGAAATCGTGGGTGATACCCCACCCCCACCCTGCCCTTTGTGGCCTCCTGGCTCCATTTAGTTTGGTTTTGACGTAAGTGACTCTACTTTGGTACTGACAACTTTCACATCCCCAACCCCAGACTCCAGTTGCCACCAGACTAAAGTCTCAGCTCTCACTTATAATTAAGACCTTTGGTCCTGGCCCTGTCTATGCTCTTCTACCCTTTGCTTGTTCCAGACTGGGGAACATGCAATTTAACCTGCTTGGAACATTCTTCTACTCCCCAGATGTCTTTGCCCTGCTTACTCCTACTTACACTTCAGGTTTCCACCTATCACCTCCTCCAGGAAGCCGTCCCTGCTTCTCCTCCTAAAGCAGCCCACACCCGCCCTAACCTGGCCTTTCCCATTCCCCCAGCCATAAGAGAAAACTCTGCAGAGGGTAAGGACTATGTCTGTCCTACCTGTTTTCCAGCCTGGTGTCTGGCCCAAACAGCAGGTGCTTACTTGGTATTTGTGGAACAAATCAAGAAGAGGGAAGCTCTATGTAGTAAAATTTCTAGCCAGATGTTTATTATTTTGTTCAATTCTTTCCATTGCACGATTCCACAGCTATTTATTTTCACTTTTCTTTCTTTCTTTTTTTTAATTTTTTTTAAAAAGCTATGAAGAATTTCAGAAACAACATTAAAATGATCATTCAAACTGTTTCAGGCACGGCTTCATATTAAAAGCATAGATTGATTTCTAACTTCCTGTTACCCTCTATGATACAATCTCAAGTTTTGTTCCAGGAAGCACAATTATTGTAGAGCTAAGGTGGATATCTGCCAGAGCTCATCTCCAAGTGCTGTCCTCATTCTCGGAAAGTTCCTGAGTCAACAGAAAGGGGGTTCCCAGCGTATGGGGTAAGGAGATGGGTGCACACTCAGCTGATTGGCGGGCCCTGCAAACGCTGGGCAAGCCCACTTCATCAGCTCAAGAACATAAACAAAAATGTAATTTTAAAAAAAGATGGCTTAAAAAAATATCTGATAAAAATTACCTCTCCCTCTCCCTTGCTGTGAAATAATTTAAATAATTTATTTTAGATGTAAAAATAAAAAAGAGAAAACAAGTTTGTTCAGACACCTGTGTCCTGTTTTTAAGTGTGAGGTCTGGGTCCTTTGGGGGTAGGAAGAGCCCGCGGAGGGATGGCTGTGCAGAGGCATGCTGGGAAACTCTCTCGATGCAACCTTACCTCCACCACTTGGCGGCCAGTGACCTTGGACATCATGTTTCTGCACTTCTCTGAAGCTAGTCTTCCCTTCTGAACACGGGCATTAGAATGCCTCTGTGACCTGGGTTAGAGTAGCATGTGTCAGTGAGTGGAGGTGGGAGGGCTTTGTAAACTGTGAAGTGCTGGTCACAAACGAGGTGGGAAAGGTAACCCCATCCAGTGCAGCTCTGCTTCCCTGACAGTGCCTGGGATTTGGCCTTTTGCTCCAGAGCACACTAAGGCAAGGTTGGCTGGAGCTTCAGACAGGAGTGAGTCCCAGTGACTGAGTAATGGCTGGGGGTCACAGAGAGCTTGGGGGAGGGCTTAGGACACTTCTGGACTTTTTAGGAGCGACCAGCCAGGACATAAGATTCAGCTTCGGCTGGTCCAGGATGGGGCCTGGGCATCGGTATTTCTGAATGTCCCAAAAGGGATTCAGCTTGGGTTGAAACCCACCAGGCTAAGTGGCCTCCTGCAGTCCGCATCTCAGCTCCAGAATCACCCCATGCAATGGAGAAAACTTATCAACTGCCCCTCCTCAGTGAGGAGGGATGAATGTCACTTCTAATCATTCCCAGTCTCTTGTTGAGCTGTTGTACTGACCACTGAACTTTAGAGCAGGGCTTGGAATACAGATTCATTAAGGAGGGATGAAGAAAAACTTTTGGGCCAGAAGGGAACTTCAGGGCCACCAGGTCCTACTTATCTAGTGTAGTCATCCCTTTCCAAAAGCCCTCCCAGGTAGGTGGCCATACGCTTTGTTGGCATGCTTCCAGTGCTGGGGGCCCCCTCCCTCCTGGCGGTGGGGGGAGTTCATCTGTTAACCCAGGCTGAAATCTGCCTACATAGTCCTGCAGGAGGCGGGCTGTGTACCTGAGGGCTTTGGTAGTGGCAGTCAGCAGTCACCGACACAGCTTGGAAGTCTGCATGCCCATATAAGGGACAGCATCTACCCACATCTGGCTGCTTCTGGTAAGAGAGGATGCTCTTGACTTCCTATCTGTGCTCTGGAAGTTGGCTGAATCCCCAGTCTAGCCCTTTGCCAGTATTTGTGAGTTTCCACAGCAAAACCAGTTTATTACCCACCCCGCAGGTCATTTTCCTCGAGGTCTTGGATAGCAGATCCTGTAGAGAGCAGCTTTTTCGGGGTCCCCCTTGTTCAGATGGAGAAATTGAGACCAGAGAGGAAAGGAATTGCAAGAGCTCCCTGAGCAAAGCGGGGCATAGCAAGGCCAGACCAACGGATTCCTGCTCTGTGGGCTGAGAGCTGCATCACACCCAAACAGCAGACAGACAGACCCAAGGAGACCAGGACCTCAGCCCAGCCTTGCCATGAAACAAATCTCACTTGCTTCTTTCTGGGCCTCAGTTTCCCCACCTGTAAAATGAGGGAGTTGGGCCAGGTCACTGGCTTTCAAACTTCTAAAATTTTTTTTAGTAGCAGAATTATGTACTATTCCACAGCAGCCCAACCTATGAAACGGACAGAAGGGGAGCTGTCTGGTTGGAACGGGGTGGGGAGCAGGGAGACACAGCCTTCCCGCTCAGTCTCCGCCTAATATATGGGCCACAGTTTGAAAATCACAGGCAGGCTCATCTCCTAGGTCCTTCCAGCTCTAACTTTTTACAATGTTCTTCCCCTTGAGAAGTTCTAGCTCATCGTGGACCCTTAACACAGAATTAAACAGAAGGCAAGTTATCATCTAAAAACAGAGTCAATTCAGACACTTGTTGCAAGAAGGCAAATAGAAAAACGGCACCACGTCCCACTGGAATCTCTTTCAACGACTGAGAGTCTTGTTTTCTGATAAAAAAAAAAAAAAAAGTAGAAATAGTGGTTGTTCTTGGGGGGACTTGTGGTTTGGTTCTGGACCTCCCTACGGAGCCAAGTGGTGTCCCTGAGGGCAAGGAGGGCAGAGGTCTCTGCTCAGAACTGCTCGGAGCGCATCCGTAAGTTTTTGATCTCCAGTTCCAACTGTTTGGCCTGGACCTCTCTCTGGGTCACCAGCTCCCGCAGCCTTCGGATCTCCTCCTGTTGCCGGTAGAACATCTGCAGCAGCTGGGAAAGCAGAGATCAGAGGGCAAGATCACCGGGGTGTCCTGGGACATGATGGGGCAGGATCTCGCTCTGTCACCTGGGCTGGAGTGCAGTGGCATCATCATAGCTCACTGCAACCTCAAACTCCTAGGCCCAAGCAATCCTTCTACCTCAGCCTCCCAAGTAGCTGGGACTACAGGTGTGAGCCACCACACCCAGGTAATTTTTTTTTTTTTGTAGAGACAGGGTCTTGATATTGCCCAGGCTCTGTTTGTTGAATGAATTAACAAAGCAATTAGGCCAGGCCGCACCTGGTTATTCCCACCCTCATTTTCTCCCTCCCTCCGTCTCAGCCCTGATCCCCCACCCCCAGCTGTCCCCTGGGAAGGCCCACTCCACCCTCGTTCACACCTCGTTCTCTGTCTTTGGTGGGGGGCATTCAAAAATGTCAAAGCCGTTTGTGAGCCAGGATTTCTTCTCCTCCAGCCTGCGTTCTGCTGCCCACCTTGGTGCCTTCTCCTCCAGCAGGGAGGGAGGCCTCCAGCCATCTTCTGTAGCCAGCTTTTCTGTCTGGTCCAAGGGCTGGGACGAGGCCGGGGCCACAGAGTTGAAGACGGGTCTCTCTGGAGGCAGTGGCCGGGGGCTCAGCAGCTCAGAGCCGGGCCTAAGGGTCACCAGGACTGGCCCTGGGAGGGAAGCAAAGAGCTGTGTGAGGACTGGGTGCCCACGAGCAGATGGGCAGGGGGTGGCACAAATACAGGCAGGCATGCAGAGCCACATAGAGAGCCATGCAGAGCCAAGCGGACACACACAACAGGTGTAGGAGATGCAGCCACACGCAGACAGGCACAAAGCCGCGGACCAGGGCAATCGCATACAAATACCCATGTGTGCAACTATCGAGGTGGAGCTCAGTTTGTAGGAACAGCACGTGCATGCACGCGAGCTGCCCGCAGGTGAAGCCTGGTCCTTCCTTTGTAAGGACCGTCTCACCCACATTGCACGCTCCATCTACCGAGTCCATTAGTTCTCCCAGCACCCCGGGAAGCAGGGAAGGCTGGCATCATGGTTGCCAACGAGGAAACTGAGGCCCAGGGAGGCGTAGACCTATCTAAGGGTTATTCCAAACTGGGACCTGCCTGACTCTGCTCTTTTGCCCCTAGGCAGAGGCTCTTCCAGGCCACCAAGGAGGCCCCTCAGCCACTGGGCTGGGTCTCTGGAGAGGGAAGGGAGCAGCTGGGGTGGGGGTAGGAGCACACATCACCCTGCTTCCACTTGGCTGCCCTCTTGTGGCCTGAACCACTGGGGAGGGGGCTGCTGCAGGCAGAAGGCCTGGGTGGGGCTTGCTGCCTAGAGGGCCTCTTGGGTCGGGGGATGGGCAGGGGGAGTCTGGCTGAGACAGTCCAGGCGCCGTGCTCAGCCCCGTGGGGTAAGGAAGTTTTCCATGGGGCAAAGTCTTTTGAGTTGGAGGGAGTTTTCTGAGCCACTTGGGTCAAGCTCCCTGCCTTCCTGGACCCATATATGACCACCCTCGCCACTGGGGACTGACTGTCAAGGAGGGCCCGGCCTCTGAGAATAAAAATACAGCCCAAACCCCTCTCAGCTGCCTGGAGCCACTGAGCACCCCAGGTTCCCACCACATTTGCCCAAGGCCCTTTCTCCCTCTTCCTCACCTCTGTTCATCCCATTGAGCCACTCCTGGGCCGTCAGGGAGGGCTGGGCCCCTGCTGTTGGGGGGTAGATGTCCTCTTGGTAGGATTCCGACTGCCGGAGAAGTCCAGAGGTGAGGGGGTGGTAGGGCAGGCTGCCCAGATCAGGAGGACCCTTAGAGCCAGGGGTCTAGGCTCTCCCCAACCCCTGCTGAGTTGGGGAAACCAAGGCCCAGAGAGTGAAGGGACTTGCCCAAGGTCACACAGCAGCTCAGGAGCAGAGGTGGGGTGAGACACAGGACTCCTGAAGCTCTGGACTATGGGCTCCAGGCTCTGGCACCCTGACACCCTGGGTCTGTCTTCTCCAGGACGGGTTCCTGCCTCCCTCCCAGATGGCCCCTACCCCCCTTACCCGCCTGGGCACGATCATGGATACGGGCTCGATGAGGCTTTTGGTTGTGATTAGCTTATAGAAGCGGAAGATCTCGCAGGAGGACACGTCGAGGCCTCTCTTTGGCATCACACCTGCAGGCAGACAGCCAAGGAGGGCCAAGGCCAGGATGCACACCTGGCTATGAACAGAGACTGCCCCTCCCGCCGTCCTTCCCTCAACAAACAGCCCATGGACAGATACCTGCACTGGGCTGGGCCCCGTGCCGGGGAAATGGAGCTGAAATAATCGGACTCTGTCTCCACCTTGGAGGGTTTAAATTATTTCAGTGGACTTTTATAGGCAGTTTGCTCTGCTCAAGGCTCCCTGTCTCCACCTCCACAGCTCCTGTGACCCAAACGCTCCTAATATAGCCACACCAGCTCTCTTCTGAGTAGTTAGCAGGGCTTATCTTTCCCCAGTCCTTTACTTTTTTCTTTTTTTTTTTTTTGAGACAGAGTCTCACTGTGTTGCCCGAGCTAGAGTGCCGTGGCGTCATCCTAGCTCACAGCAACCTCAAACTCCTGGGCTCAAGCAATCCTTCTGCCTCAG